TTAGTTACAAGTAGGATGCTTCATGAACTAGTGCTTGTGAGCGGTGATCATACGGTTTGAGTCTACCTGACTCATGAAACTTTAGGCAGGTTTCAGTGCCTGCCTCTATGTGTGTGTGAACGTGTGTGCGTGTGTGTGCATATGTGTGTGTATGTATGGGTGAGTGTGTGTATGTGTATGTTTGTGAGTGTGTGTGTGATTGTATGTGAGAGTGTGTATGGGTGTGTGTATGTGTGTGTGCATGTGAGCGTGTGTATGTATGTGAGTGAGTATGTGTATGTATGTGTGTGTGAGTGTGTGAGAGAGTGTGTGTTGTGCGTATGAGTGTGAGTGTGTGTGCGAGTGTGTGTGAAAGTGTGTGTGTGTGTGTGAATGTGTGTATTGGTGTGAGAACAAACTGGTACAAGGCGATGTAGTGTAAGGGGTTATAAATACAGACTCGAGTCCGACTGGCTGAGTCACATCCGACAGCGCCACCTCGCTGAGCCTTCCTCCCCTCCTGTCATTGGCAATAGCTTTGGGCTTATTGGTGAAGTGGGAGAGGTACCAGCACCAGTGAGACCCAGCTGTGGCTGCTCCTTCCCTTGGGCGAGAGCAGCTCCTGCTGACTGTTCCGGGAAAACAGAGCCTCGGTCTTGATGTTTGGGGAGCTACAATTCGCACCTCCACGTGCAATATTCTCCTGTGTGTCCGGCCCGGGGGAGGCGGGTGCAGGTGTTGCTGCCAGCAGCTGGATGCCAGGGCACTATCCCCTCACCCGGGCCGGCTTCCCGGGCTGCCAGTCCCACAGGCCCGTGCTCAGAAGGGCATCGCACCTCGTTGCATGCTGTGTCCCAGCCACTTGAAATTCAGCATAACCTAGGGCCCCGCTTTTTATTCCACACTGAGACCCATAAATGACTGCTGGTTGCTACTTGCCCTCCCATCACCCAGGTTCCGCTGGGATAGTCGCACCTGGGCCTGCTACTTGAACAATCACCATCAGGGCGGCTGGGCGTGGGTCCCTGCTTGGGGTGCGGGTGGGAGCTGGGCTTTAGCCCAGGCGTGACCCAGAGGCGGTGCCTTCTGTCACTCATCTCCCAGAAGGGCTGCCTTTTTCTAATTTGGCATAAAGACGCTTCCTTTGCTGGCGGGAGCCCTGCTCATGTCCACGGGCACCCATAATAAGAGAAATGCACATTAAAACTCCACTGAAATATCATTTGTATGTATCAGAATAGATAAAAATCCAAAAGCATGACAGCCTGCCCTGTCGACAAGGCAGTGGGGGGAACAGGCGCTGTGGGAGGGCAAAATGCCCTCTGAGGGCAAATCGGCGTCTCCATCCACATTATGAGTGTGTTCATCCTTTGGCTCGGCGACCCCTCTTCTAGAAACTTGCTCTATGAAGGCACACAGGCACATGCAGAGCAATTCCTGGGGAATTTTTTTATTGCCACATTATTCTGAATTGGATTGGAAATAACCCAAGTATCCGTGCAGAGCGGACTAATGAAATAAGCAATGTAGACCTCAAAACGGAATGCGTCTGTTTAGGGAGGGAGGCTTTCTCTGTGGCAGATAGGAAATCGCCATGAGGGCAGCCAGGGAAAGGAATGGGGTGAATGGCAGTGTCGGGGGGTGGGGGGCGGGGTGCTGCATTTATGGAGGAAAGGGTAGAAGTGTGAACACATATGTGTTGCTATTGCCATACACCTTGAAGGACACCCAAGAAGTTCATTAGAATGGCTGCCTACGAGAGAAAGCAGGGCGAGCATGGGAATGGTGTGGGCACAGATGCGTGAGAGGAAGGTTCCTCGATGTGTACTCTTTAGCCCCATGCTTGTATTTCCTATTCAAAAGAAAGTGAGCATCAGCAAACACATTCCCCTCCTCAGACAGCCACCAAATGTTAGACAATATAGTCTCCTCCAGGAATTGGCCAACTGCGGCCTGTCTTTTTTTTTTTTCCAATAAGGTCTATAGATGAGTTAATAGTGTCTGCTTGCTGGTTCCTATCATTGTACCATGGCTACATGGGGGGTGTTAACATTCGGGGAAGCTGGGATTCCCGGGGAATACAGGCATGTCCCACTGCAACTTTCCTGTAAGTGTAAGTGTGTTTCAAAATAAGGTGGTTTTTTTAAGAGAGAGAAATAAGTAATTTTTCCTCATACACAAAATAGGAAATAGTAATAGAAAAAAATTCAGCCATAATCCTGAGATGAAAAAGAACCATTGCCAAAGGCTGAGTCTCTGTCCTAGCCGGCTTGGCTCAGTGGATAAAGCTTCAGCCTGCTGACTGAAGGGTCCCAGGTTCGATTCCAGCCAAGGGCACATGCCTGGGTTGTGGGCTTGATCCCCAGTCGGGGGTGTGCAGGAGGCAGCCGATAAAAGATTCTCTCTCATCATTGATGTTTCTATCTCTCTCTCCTTCTCCCTTTCTCTCTGAAATCAATAAAGAAATATATTTTTTTAAAAAAAGGTTGAGTCTTTTAAGTATTAATAATTAAAAAAAAAAAACTTTTTGCCCTAACCAGTTTGGCTCAGTGGATAGAGCATCGGCCTGCAGACTGAAA